GAGCATCTGTGGATCCAAGTCCTCGAATCGCTTAACATGGTCATTTCTATGAATCATGGGTGCGTGCTGTAGCGATGTACACCTTTTCTGCTTAGATGTTCAGATTGTGACTATTGTCTTCAAAAGGGCGCTGTATATTGTTTTATTTATTTGTTTGTTTGTATTATTTATTGTCCACCTTTCTCACAGGGACTCAGGATGGACAACTCATGGTGAGCCAGTACAATCAACAAAATGGGACATTCATTAGCCAGTGCATTAGGATTTTAGAAGTCGAACTACCAGAAAGAACTGAAGCAGAGCAGAAGTATTCACATAATGCATTAAGCAGTACAGAGATTACATAAATAGGATCCTACTTACAATAAGCTATACACAACATTATATAGACCACAGCCCCTCCTCATTGAGCCAAGCAAGTTTGTGAAGCCATTTTGTGCAGTGCAACCCTATTACCTGTTGAGAACTGATGCTGCTCCTTCCACTCTAGGGATGCTTCCCTTATTTGCTGTGAATCCCTCTTGCGTGTTTTTAGGTGTCCCTGCCTATCAGAACACATTTGTGTAAGCGCTGCTTTCACGGAACATGTGGCTGCTGGATCCATTTGGGGTGCTACTTTAATCCCAAGAAATCACACAGCCTTGCTTGTACTCTTTCTTCTTATGTGGCCCCTGTATGCTCAAAGCCATTCTTCTTGTTTTATGATACTGAAGGTTCAGAAGTAGTCTGAATTTAAATAAATAAATGCCATTTTCAGCCAAAGCATACAGTTATGTAAACACAATGGCACCCAGTTTCTCCTGTCCACCCTATTTCTACTCTACATTCTCAAGCAAAATCAAGCAGCAGCCATTCACTTCTATGTGAGCGTGTACAGTACTGCACTTGAGAACCATGCTGAGGCAGGAGCCAAATTCTTCTTCCTCTTTGGGAGAAAATTGTTGGATAGTATAACTCTGCATGCAAGAGGATCTGGGGCAGAAAGTTTAAGAGTATTCTCTCGCTCGCTCGCTCTCTCACACACACAAACACACAGATGGCAGTTTGTTTATTTATACTTTCAATTTCTATACTGCTCAATCCCGGAGGCTCTGAGCAGTTTACAAGCATATTACATTTCCTAACTAGGGCCACATACAATGTATATATATATAGGGAGGTGGGTGCCTACTAGGCACCCCGCCGGTATGTGTGTTCTTTTTCCTTATGGTGGAATCTTGTCTCGGCGGGCTCTGCAGCGGCTCCTTCTGGGGAAGCTCCCATAGTCTGCGACTGTGCGACAAGTTCCTGCGCTGGTCTCTGTCCAGTTGGCTCCGGCCATGCAGCGTCGCCGCGTTGTCGCGTCTCAGGGCCAATCCCTGCCTGGAACGATTGCTGCTTGGTGTTAAATCGCCGCCATGTTCTTTCATTGGATCGCTCCGCCGCTGTCGTTGCTGGCGGTAACTCCACTCCTCCTCGCCGCCACAACGCCAGAAGGCCCAGTTGGCCCCACTCGCTCATCAGTTAGATGTTGAGCCACTTTGGCCGTTGATTGTCTTCTGTTTTATCTTATATAGGCCTCTCTTCATCTTTCTCTTACCTGGTCTTGGAGCTATAACAAGTTAAACTTTTTTAAGTTAATCCATTCACAATAAATTAACTGTACCTACATGAATATGTCACATATTATGTGCTTTTATTTTTGTACATAAAATTTCTTTCTCATGTTACTAGTGGAGTCAGATAATCTTTTGAGTTTGGTGTCGTGGTTAAGTGCGCGGACTCTAATCTGGGAGAACCGGGTTTGATTCCCCACTCCTCCACTTGCACCTGCTGGATGACCTTGGGCAAGCCATAGTTCTGGCAAGCTGTTCTTGAAAAAGAGCAGTTTCTGTTGGAACTCTCTCAGCCCCACCTACCTCACAGGGTGTCTGTTGTGGGGAGGGTAAGCTGCTCTGAGACTCCTTTGGGTAGTGAAGGGCGGGGTATAAATCTAATCTCCTTCTCCTCCTCCTCCTCCTCCTCCTCCTCTTCTTCTTCTTCTTCTTCATCAGGTTTAACAGCATTTTTCTCTTAACCAGGAAATATGGAGAATCAGAGATACTGAGTAAAGCTCCCGTGCTTCCAAGTCAAATGATTTTTTTTACAGTTAACCCAAGAAAAATAACAGTTTGTTCTTATGTATTTACAGTCAATCTTTCTGGCGGAGACACAAGGAAAACTGAAAAATTTAGAACAGTGTAATAGGAACAGTATGATGTATCACAAAATGTAATAAGATTCGATCGCAAAGTCAGAAAACAATGCAATAAATACAGTATAAGGCGTATGACATATAAGATTGTTGGGTCGAGGGTAGCTCCCCGGCCCCTAACACTAAGTGGCCCAAGTACCATTAATGGACCTCCCCCAGAAAAGACCCAACGTTAGGAAGTTCGGGAAGGAGGCCTGAGACATACTCTTGAAAGCCACGATAAGTCCGTACCAAACACCTGAAACTTACTATATCTCACCTTTATTGATTAATTGTTTGTAAATGTGATTACACTTTAATTTGTGGTGAATTATTTGTTTACCCAGGGCTTTTTGAGCCAAGGTCTGGCTGTGTAAAGCCAGGGAATCACAGGATTCCGCCCTGCTTTCTAGGTCAGCCAATCAGAGAAGATTCCATTGCCATGGAAACTCTGTTGGCAGTTACAGAGACGCTGTGTTTTGTTCCCTTGTCTGAGACTGGACTGGAGGGGCCCTGGGTGGTTCCGGCTTCCCATCTCTTGGGGGGGGGGGAGAGAAAGGCAGAAAAGAGTAGCAGCCTAGGTGGCGCAGCTAGATTAGGGAAGTGTTAGATAGGAGCATTAGGGTTACCTGATGCCCTGACTGTGCCCTTGTAACTGAGTGATCTGGGGACTGAAAAAGCTGATTGCAAATAACTGTACGAAACTTATTTTTGTGGCTCCTGGTATGAGCAGAATGGATGCAAATGTGGTGCAGGGATCGATTTCATTTCAAATTACAGAGGCAGATCCAAACAGACACGGGAAGCCTTCCACTTCCCCCTGAGGAAGTACGCCCCCCCACCAAAATATAGCTAATGCTTGTAATGACTGTTGTGAAACTAATAACTAATAATAGCTATGCAGTATAAATTAACCTGCACCTTTTGTCCCTCTGTTAAATCACCCAGGGAAACTATCGCTTTATGAAACTTCTACTCGCTCGTAGAGCAAACTGGATGAAGAAGGATTTGGAAGAAATCACACCTTTGCACTTAACTACCCGGCACAGGAGTCCAAAGTGTTTAGCTTTGTTTCTAAAATATATGGCCCCAGGAGAGATTGATACACAGGACAAAAATAAGGTACAGACATTTTTTTTTTGCTGTTTTTATTATCCTGGTCAATTTCCAGTTGTCAAAACAGATATTTTTTTTTCTTCTGTAGTTAAAAACATTTAAAAATATGAATTGCCTAGGTACTGCACTGCCTACTTCTTCTTGTACAAGCTCCATATTGTGATTTTAGACTGAATAGCATGAGCTAAAGAGGGTTTTTCATTCTCCCTGCAATAACTGTGCAATGCCTTTACAGCGGAGGTTTGCCAAGTCTTGGCTTCGCCATTTCCTCCCTGGGATCAGTGTGAGCAACTTCTGTGTGTTGGTATCAACCAACCTATCTGAAGAAGATGTAAAGGCTGTTGATTTAGGATTGGCCTTTTGGTACAGCATCTCTTTCCCAAAAAAATCTTTCCCTGGCAAGCATGCCATGCATAGTACTTCAGCAACCACTTTCTTAGGTGACTGCAATGAATTCTGATTGGATTTTGTGCACAGCATACTAGGAATTGTAGGTTGGAACTTGCCGATCTGTTCCACTAGCAGAGGATCTGTCCTCCAGCCCAAGGAGTTTCCCCTCTTCCGAATATTATGTGGCTGGCGAAGACTTTTTCCACTTCTGCTAGTGACATGGATCCACAGGATTCAACCCCAAGGTCACATCCAGAGATTGAACAGAAACAAGTCAGGAATCATAGTCTTTTCCTCACTTTGCACTATCCTCAGCTTTTGAAATTTACAGAAGTTTAGTGTAATGTGGTACATGTTTTATGATCTAGTTTAAAAGGCGCTAAGAAATACGTTGCAGTGTCTAAGATACTTTAAAAATCACAAACAGCCCGTGAGGCTTGTTTCATTTGAATACATTTTTTTTACGAATCTGTATATCTTCCTTTCCCCCAGCAAACTGCTCTTCACTGGAGTGCTTATTACAATAATCCAGAACACGTGAAACTTTTAATCAAACACGATTCTAATATTGGGATCCCAGATGTTGAAGGCAAAATCCCCCTTCACTGGGCAGCTAACCACAAGGACCCAAGTGCTGTTCACACCGTCAGGTGCATTTTGGTGAGGCTTTGTGTTAAAATAATTATTGTTTAACTTTTTCCTTTAGTGCCAATAGTGTCCTCCATACCGTTAGGATCAGGTTGTGCTCCAGCAGTATCTTGAGTTTGAACTGAACCAACCAGGACATCTAAGTCAAAGCAGATGAGAGTGATTTCATCAGCAAAATGCTTCACAAAAAAAGTGATAGCTTACATGTACATTTTACGGGTCTACATCCACTGGGGCCTGATAACAACAACAAAAATCCCTCACAAACTAGTAAAGCTATGCTGGAAAGCAATTATGTAAATGCAGTGTTGTCACAGAAGTGAGCTTGCTTTGCTGCCATTACCTCCATCACTGCCACAGCTGGCAAGATAATGCCTTCTCACCCATGCTGGGTCACATTCACATTGAATTTTCTTCCACTTGCACTTCTGTTTCATTGTCCCAAGCTCCTAGGTAAATGCAGAGGCATTACAGTCTCAGTGGCAGGGGCGAGGGTGCTCCAGAGCAATGGTATTCACCACCTGAATTGACCACTAGGCTTCAATGTGAGGGGGGTCTAACCAGGCCCGTAGCTACAGTGGGGCATTTTGGGGCCTGGCCCCCTAAATTCGATCCAGCCCCCAGGCCCTCCGGCTCCCTGGGCTGCCCGGAGGATTCCCAGCGCTCTGGGCTGCCTGAAGGACTCCCCACCGCCGCCCATTCCCCAAGCGTGGCTTGCTTCCCTGTGTCGGCAAGCAGAGTACGAATGCCACAAACGTGAGTTTTTAAAATTTTATTTTTATTTTATTTTTTATTTTGTGATGTCAGCACCCCCCAACTTATTTAAAGGCCCCCTGAATTACAAAATCCTGGCTACAGGCCTGGGTCTAACCACCCAGCACACTTACTGTGCCTGCTCAGCTTTGTGTCTATGTGTGGAGGAAGCTGTTCGTCCAACTCTGAACGACAGCAGTACAGTGCAGGAGATGGGCATTCTACTTTGCCATGTTGTGTGGAGAGAGTTTGTGGGTGGTGGTAAATTGGGACTGGGGAATTCACCAAGCACACACACGCACACACACACAAACCATTCCAGGATCCTCAGTTCTCTTAATTAGGAATGGCTTTTCCCTCTGATTTTCATTTAGTCTTCTGCAAGGACACTCTTGCTTCAAGTGGATAAAGGTTTTAAAAGGCTGTAGGCTTGCAAGGTGTTGGGGCATATACTGCCAGGATACTCCAGTATAAGCAATCGGGAACTTGAGCAGCCCTCACACATGAACACATGAAGATAGGTGCTTTAGACTGAATCAACCCCTTGATCCGTCACGTTCAGTGTTGTCTACTCAGACTGGCAGCATCTCTTAGCAGGGTCCCAGGCAGAGGTCTTTCACATCACCTACTGCCTGGTCCTTTTAACTAGAGATGCCAGGGGTTGAATCTGGGACCTTCTGCATGCAAGGCAGATGCTCTACCACTAAGCCACAGCCCCTCATTCCTCTCCTCCCTCCCCTTTTAATTTTAATGCAACCTCTCTCAATGTTCTGTGGCTAGTAGAAGGTGGTAAGCATGTTTAGTGTGCACCAGACTTTTTAGTAGCTTTTCCCCACTTTTCTTTATAAATTTGTCAAGTAACATTTTCCAGCATGCTATTCTGTTTTATTTTGCTACACCAAACTGATCCAGTTACCCCTTTGCAGTCATCCTGTTGACTGCATGGGCTTGGCACTGCGTTATCTGCCTTGGGTCTCAGTGAGAAAGGCAGACTATAAATAACATGAATAAATAAAACAGATTCAGGAGTGGCTGCTTTGTCCGTTGGTGGTCCCATTTCAATGTCTACTGTTGCCTTAAGGAGGAACCCATGGGGACTCTGTTGGAGTGAGCAACTCAGCATGCCTGGACATTGGGGCGGGGCGCGCTACCTCACTCTAAGTGTGTATAGGTATTATCTCCTTGAATGAAATGCCTCTCTTTGTCTTAATCTGGGAGCTGCCCCCTGACCTCTTGTTTCTGTCTCGCTTTGTCCTCTCCGTCTCTGCACATGGCCTTCCACGGAGAGACATGTCTCTGCAGGTCTCTCCTGTAGATACTATGCCCTCACACTCACATACACGTGATGCTGGATTAGTTGGCCATTTGTGAATGGAAGCTAAGATCTTGATAAGTGTTCTTGCAATATCTCAGCCAACAAGGGCTCCTATGGGTTCCCTTTTTCAGTCTCTGCATATGCAGACATCACATGACCCCTTTTGGTTTGGTTTTTAAACCATTTGCTAATTTTTGGTTTCCGGATTTCTCTGGCAGGTTCCTTTGGGTTTACAAAACTTCACCTGGATTGGGCCCCCCCCCCCCAATTTGTTGTTCTGTGTTGTGTGTCACCCATCATTATTAGATACATATGATGAATAGATGCAGCAGTACTGTAGCTGTTTAGCACTTAAAAGTTCTTATCCCTATTGTTGTCCTGCAATTGCATTGTTGAAACAATGCTTAACATCAATGTTTTTATATAGCCCCTGGAATTTTTAAAAAAGATCATTGTAACTTAATTGCCTGGGATTTTTGTATAATAGGATGCTGCTCCCACTGAGTCTCTGTTGAACTGGCAAGACTATGAAGGACGAACACCTCTCCATTTTGCAGTTGCTGATGGGAACGTGGCTGTCGTTGATTTGTTGACGTCTTATGAAGGCTGCAACGTGACTTCTTATGACAACTTATTTCGAACGCCACTTCATTGGGCAGCTTTGCTGGGTACATTCTAAATGGCAAACTTTTTAATTCTATTTAGACATGGGTATTCTATTTAGACACTTGTGGAACATTGGTTTTCTAAATTGGGAGCTTACTTTCTTCAAAAAGAATGTACAAATTTGACTAGGAAAAATGTCTTTAAGCTTACTTTCTTCAAAAAGAATGTACAAATTTGACTAGGAAAAATGTCTTTAAGGACAAATGAGTGTCAAAAGGACTCTAAGACAGCAGAGCTAGAAGCAAGGCGGCGAGACATGAGAACTAGGAAAGAACATTTAGAGAGAGAGAGACCGAAGATAATATGAGTGAGAAGGAATGCAGAAGAGTAGGCAAGGAGGGCAGTCTGGTTGTTTTATCATTTTGGTGTAATAGTAATGTTAAGCCCTGACCTGGATAGTCCAGGCTAGCCGCTAGCCTGATCTCATCAGATCTTGGAAGCTAAGCAGGGCTTGCCAGTATTTGGATGGGAGCCCACCAAGGAATACCAGGGTCGTGGCGCAGAGGCAGGCAAAGGCAAACAGACTCTGAATGTATTTTGCCTTGAAAACCCCCACCGGGTTGCCATAAGTCAGCTGTGACTTGGTGGCAAAAAAAGGTAGTGTTAAAAGTTCATTAGCCTGTTTTGTCACACTGTTTTTGATGTTATATGTAAATACTGAAATTATAAAATTATCAGCCACACCGTCTATTTAAAATCTCTGTATAAAGCCTGAATCTTGACACAGGCAATCCTTCTTTCCTTTGGATATTCTCCTCTTTATCATCATCATCATCATCATCATCATCATCATCATCATCATCATCATCATCATCATCATCATCATTATTATGGTCCTCACTGTACCCAGTGCTTTACTGAGTGCTTTAAGCAAAATAAAAATAAAAATGCAGGTTCCTGCACTGAGGAGCGTACACTCTAAACCTCCAAAGCAAGGAAGAAGCAAAGGGAGGAATGGCAAGAGGCAAAGAAGAAAATGAGGATGAGTGTGAGCAAATGTGGTTTCAAATGGAGACTGGGGCCACTGGGGTAGAGCAGTATGCTTCATGGAGAAACCCAGCTTTGAGGAGGGTTTTGAAGGACAACCGCAGTCTGCTGCATCACTAAACGCTGTTCTGCAGTCAGGGTCAGCAGGAGTTTTTAAAAATCACGACTCAGCCATTTGTACAGGTCTTCAACAAGCACAAGTGGCTTGAGTTTAGAAGCCAACGAAAACAATAACCTGAATTCGGTTGACCTGTTTGCTAGACCAGAATGTGAATCCACATTATGAGAAACAGGAAACCCAGAGGAAGCCCCTGAAGGCCTTTTGGTCCCCCTTATCTGGCAGTTGCTGTGGTTCTGAACTGCCTCCCAGGACCAGGAGGTCCCAACCATTCTGTTAGCCAAACTGCCTGGTTTGTTAATAAAGATGGGGGGTTTGAATGTATTAAATGACAATTGGCAAACAGGGAGCAATAACCTTTGTATACAGGAGTCCCACTTATTCCAGTGGTCCCAGAGATAGACACAGAGACCAGATCTTAGTGAAATGGTTTCTTTACGAAAGGATTTGCACACATACAAATAAACACAATCACACACTCAGCGATACAGAGCTAGGAAAATTAGACTGAAAAGGTACAGAGACATTCGCATTAGCAGGAAGGAGTTTGTTGGTTGGGCAATACTGACCTTCCCGACGTGATGAAGCGATCCTTACAGCGGAAAAATAGGGGAGACTATAGGGGAAAATGGTGTCTTATTCTGAACGGGCAGAACAAGCGGAGAGACTCTGGGTAGCACTACACCGAGATTCGGCAAGGTAGGATGGGGTTAGGTATAGAGGAAGAGAGAGAGCATGGCGAATCCTGCTCTTTTTATACATTATTTGGACTTGGGGGTGGGCTTCACTGGCCACTTCCCTTGTCACATCCCCAGGAAGTTAATTAGGCAAAAACTAGTTGCAGGAGGATGGTGAGGCTTAATGGTTGGGCAATATTGATTCCATTACTACTAACAGTGGCATCTTTAGAAGACAATAGCAGAAGCAGCCAGGGTCATTAGTTTTGATGGCTCGATGATCGCTTTGGCTGATGGGCTTGGCAGGTCGTGTCAGTCAGCTAATCCCTTTATGCAAGCAGTTCTTTTGTTATACTGGGCAGCATACGTGCAGTATCTGGTGAAAGTTGGGGGGAGAGGTGCCTGCATGTTGTCCGAGGTTTCTGTTCATGGAGTCTCTGTGGCGATGTTCATGTTTCCTTGCATTACATGGAATTCCTCTACAGCATGCTTTTACTGGCTTCTGTGTGCTGTTCGCGGCTGGGGTGCTTGGCTCATCTCTGCTGCGTGGCAGGTGAGAGGTGGCAGGTAACCCATGGACCCATCCTTGGTCCATACAAAGAATGCTTGTGATGTGTGCAAACTGCAGTTGACCTCATAGACCAAAAACAAAAGGCTGGCTTCAGCATCTGCACCAGCTGCTACATTGATGCAGCAACTGAGGCTGGTCCCAAGATGACCTTTTTTTTTGCTTTCCCATCATTTTAATTTCACTGACTGTACAGAGCTAAATCAAATTTCTTCTTCTTAAAACTTTCATGGCTGGAAAATCTTTCAGCGTGTGTTTGTTATCTTCTCTGATAAGATGGGAGAAGAAACCCAGAGTACACAATTTGGCATAACAAACATGTGTCCTAGTTTCTGCCGTTTTGCTCTCTCCTTAGGTCACGCACAGATTGTTCACCTTCTTTTAGAGCGGAACAAGTCGGGAAGCATCCCATCTGACAGCCAAGGGGCAACCCCTTTACATTATGCAGCGCAGAGCAACTTTGCAGTAAGTAGAGCAAACAAATATACTGATTGGAATAAGCCAGAGTCATGTGGTGTCTCTCCTTGGATTCATTGGCCTGGTTGTTGGCCATGGTACTAACAACTGCTGTCCCTCGTATCAACTGTTGTAGGCTAGAGGCAGAGAATAGTGGGGGGGAGGGTGGTGTGGTGGTGTTAAGATGTTGGAAGAGGTTACTTTCCTCACTTCTTTTGTTCTGCTGTCACTGCTCAAAATATGGTTTGCAGATTTTTGAAACAATACAAAAACCTTTTTATGTACGTGCATGCTGTCAAATCGCAACTGACTTATGGTGACCCCAGCAAGGGGCTTTGAAGGCACATGAGAATTAAAGGTGGCGTTCCCCTGCAGTGTCTTCCTTGGTGGTCTCCTGTTCAAGTATTGACCCTTCTTAACTTCCAAGATCTGACAAGATTGGCCTACGCCATGCCACCTCCCCTCCCTCTACAGAGGCTTTTTTTTTTTTGCTAAATTATGGCACCCCATGGGATTTTCAAGGCAAGAGATGAACACAGGTGGCTTGCATAACAGCTCCACGCTTCCTTGGTGGTCTCCCATCCAAGTACCAGCCAAAGCTGACCTCGCTTAGCTTCTGTGATCTGATGAGGTAGGGCTAGCCTGGACCAACCAGGGCGGGAAAGGGACAATGGATATTCAGTTCTCCAGGTCCAAGAAGCCAGGGAGTCCTCTTTCCTGATTCTATTCTTATGTAATGACACGGGAACAGCAGGCGAGCTGCCTGTCATCTTGGGACTTCAGGGGGGGCGGAGCCTGGCGTTCTTGCATGGCGGCAGCATAGAGACTTCTCTCCTCCAGCCTTCCCATTCCTCGCCTAAAAACGACCTCTTCGACTAACGAAACCACTTCCAAAAAGAACATGGGGAAAACCGGAATAACATGGTCCAACAAAAAATATATGAACTCTCAACAATTAACCAGATATCTGGTTAAAGAAACCGAAAAATCTCCGAGCCAGCGGGCCGCAGAACGCCAAGAGAAAATGGCGGAGACTTTATCAGATGACGACGACGGAGCTATGCTATCCCGGCGCGAATTCCATAAAACTATACACCACTTGGAAAGCACGATAGTGGAACAAATTCAACTTGCTTTAAAACCATTTTCAAAAGAACTCAAACAAATCACACAAACGCTTGCCGAGGTGTCCCAAGCAGCGGAGACTGCCCTGGAGACCGCCATCGAATCACAAGAAGACATACGCAACCTCCAAAAAGCCGAAATGTGGGCCAAAACAAAGATCATGCTCCTAGAAAACAGACAGCGAGAAAGTAATTTAAAACTCCGAAATCTGCCCGAAAAAGCGGAAGGTGAGCAAGATTTAAGAATATTTATTGCGACGTGGCTTGCACAAGAGTTAAAACTTGAGGACGGAATAGCCCCCCTCATAGACAAGGTTTACCGCTTAGGCCCCATAACGAAAAAAACAGAAAAATTTCCCAGAGATGTTCTCGCCACATTTCCCGATAGTCGAACCAGGGACGCCATTTTACGAAAATCAAGGGAAGAAAAAGGGCTAACTTACCACAATACCAAAGTGTTAGTCCTTCTTGACTTGTCACAAGAAACTCTCCAGCATAGGAAGAATATCAGCTTCATTACAGAAAAATTAACGGCTAATAACATCCGCTACCGTTGGATCTCCCCTACGGAGCTACAAGTTCTCCACGATGGCCAAAGATACCATGCAGACGACCTAGACAGCGGGTACCAACTGCTAACAACACTCGGCATCCCATACGAGCCTCTACCTGCTCCACCACCCGACGATCAACCACCACTTAAGCCTTCAGAAGAGTCATCCTCCTTACGCTGGCAGTCAGTCCACCGCTGACCTTTTGAAAACCCGACCAGTCAAGACTTGAAATGTTGAAACACCGCTCACGGTTTCCTTCATTACCACCTCTAACTGCGGACGGCAAGACTGTGGTCTTTAGATAAGTGCCACAGATTTATTTCTGCTTTATTTTAGATAGATGATCTTTTTTTTACCTTGGATATTGAAATAGTTAACCTTCCTGAATTGAGAAGGCTAGCTTAAATTGTATTGAAATCTTCACCAGTCCATCGTTGCTTCCAAGACAAAACGGCCAGTCACGGCTTGAAGGTTTGACTTACTTTTCAAGATCTAGACGCTCTAATGCCCTTTATAATTATCGTCTTGGCCGCCGCCGCAGAACAAGTGCCTCAGATTTGTTTCATGACACAACCTGTATTTATATTCTTTATTTGAACAATGGGTGCAGTTAACCTCTTTAAGGTGAAAATCTTAAAATCTAATTTTAATTTTAATTAATTTTTTCCTTTCATTATATTTTAAGTGTTAAGGTGAAGTCAACCTATATTTCTTTTCTTTTTTATAGTAAAATTTCCTTATATTTGAATAAGCTGGTGCAGATAACCTCATTAAGTTGGCAAAGTTTAAATCTTTATTAATTAATTTTTTTCCTTTCATGATATTTTAAGTGTTAAGGTGAAGTCAACCTATATTTCTTTTCTTTTTTATAGTAAAATTTCCTTATATTTGAATAGCTGGTGCAGATAACCTCATTAAGTTGGCAAAGTTTAAATCTTTATTACCTGTTGTTGTTGTTTTTCTTTACAAGATACCTTATTCATTGAAAGTGATGTCAACCCATATTTCTTTTATAGTGCAAACTCTTTAAAGGCTTTACAATAATTTTCTTAGAAAACAGTTGTTCAGAGCTTATTAACCAAGCTTTATCCTTTTGGTGAAGTTAACCAACTTATATTACTAATTTATAGAATCCAAGCCTTTGTATATGTCTTTTTTACCCAGTCAGGCTGATATCCTTTGTTTGCAGTCTTGGAAACCTATTGTTTATTTTTTTTACTCAGGGGTACTATAAAAGCATTTAAGCTCACTAAGGAAGGTAATTTACTTATTCTATGAAACTCAAAATTAACAATTGTTACCTTATCATGCTTTATATAGAAGAGGTTATATCACATTAGAATTTGAATCATTACATTGTTCATCATAGAGAAACTGTTTATTTCAACTAACAAGGGATGGGAGGGTGGGAGGAGGGTTTTTCCCTATTGCCCCCCTACATTATCTCAATTTTTCATTCTGTTTGTGTAATAATACATTTTTATAAGCTTTACCCTATTAAATATAGGGTAAGCTACAATTAGATACCCTCTTAGGAGGAAGATATCCCCCCTTCTTACAATTTGGAAGAAGAGGGCATATACAGTTGATGCCATGCAACCAATAGGGTTGTCACGGCTTAGTTTTTGTTATTGTAGTTTATGTACTAGTTTTGATCCCTTGCTTATCTTGTTGTCCATATACGTCTTCTCCTGCCATGAACGTTCATCCAAGATACAGTACACACTTGTGTTTTTCTTGATACCAAATGGATAATACCCTAAAAATAATCTCTTTAAATTGTAGGGGCTTAAATAGCAAATGCAAGTCTAGAAAAATTTCTAATGCCTTGGTGAAAATACGGCCTGATATTCTTCTCTTACAAGAGACTCACTTAAGACGTTCATCTCAACCTATTTTTAAAAACAAATGGTTCGCTTACCAATACCAAGCGCATGGCTCCTCCTCATCTCGAGGAGTAGCCATTTTATTTTCTAAAAACACGTTCAATTTGATTGCCATGACCAACTTATAGATGTTAAGGGACGTTTTTTATTTTTAAAAGGTCTGCTGAATAACACCTTGATGACAATTGGATCTATATATGCTCCCAATGTAGGACAAGAAATTTGTTTACGTGAAACCTTTGTATCTCTTGGAAATTTCCAAGCACGACACATTATGTTGGGTGATTTTAACACAATCCCAAATTATTTTTTGGGACAGATCCTATAACCCCTCACTCCCGAAAAAATATAACGCGAATTCCAAATTTACATCGCCTTTTCAGTTAATTTTAGACCAACAGGGGCTATGTGATGTGTGGAGAATCCACCATCCCGGTATGAAAGATTACACCTATTTTTCCCCCCGACATCAGGTATATACGAGAATAGACGCTATTTTAGTTTCCTCGGCATTAATTAACCAAATACAATCCTCTGAAATTGGACTGCGCACCCTATCCGATCACGCCTGGACGGAATGTTCCCTCGACCTACAACCAAACGAACCACACACCAGATCTTGGTCCTTAAATAAAAATATTTTATTCAGTCAAAGTGCTTGCGAGAACATAGAAAAATCTTTAGAAGAATTTTTCAAATTTAACAAATCCGATGAAGTCCCATTGCCAGTGATTTGGGACGCTAAAAAAGCCTTTATAAGGGGGAAATTCATCGCAGTCACAGCAGCTTACAATAAACAAAGAAATAAAATAAGACAAACAATCTTAAACAACATCAAACTTTATGAAGATAAACATAAAAAACGGGTTCAAAACGCATTTATAAGCTCCTCCTTTTAGAACGTAAAAAATTAGAATCACTTGAAACTTCGCAGGTGCAAAAACAATTATTATACTTGAAACATAAGTATTGGTTTAAACACCCTCGTTCCCTAAAACTTTTAGCTTCGAAAATTAAACAGCAACAATTACTTCGAAACACAAACTCATTAAGGGACTCCCAAGGGAAAATAATTACTTCCACTAAGGATATCCTTAATACCTTTCAACGTTACTTCCAACAATTATATAGCACCGATAACCCTTCTCCCACTCTTATTACCAAATTTTTAGAAACCAAAGACGTTATTAAAAAATTATCTCTTTACCATAGTAAAAAGATGGAAGCCCCATTCACTCAACAGGAGTTATTATCTGCCATTAAACGCACAAAATCCGGAGTTTCCGGTGGCTGTGAGATTGCGCAGTCAGACCGAGAGAGCCTCCGCGTCCTAGCTCCAAAGAATGCAAAATAAAGACTAATTGAGGACCATAAAGATAAAAACAACTTGCTGATAAGAATGGGGAAGCAAAGAGGAGGAAAAGGAGGGAAAGCAGCCAAGAAAA